ATTCTGGAATCACCTGTTTACTGTGATCTTATTGCATATATTATATATATATGTTATATTATATATATATATATATATATATATATATATATATATATATATATATATATATATTACATATATATATATTAATATATATATATATATATATATATATATATATATATATATATATATATATATATATAATATATATATATATATATATATTATATATATATATATATATATATAATATATATATATATATATATATATATATATATATAGTATATATATATATATATATATATATATATATATATATATATATATATATATAATATATATATATATATATATATATATATTATATATATATATATACATATACATATGTATGTATGCAAAAAAAACACTGTGAAAGAATAGAGAAATTCCAAGCACTTTAGTGACTACTCTCATTATCAAGGAAGAATTAAAGTAATGCATCAGAGGTAGGCATATAAAGGGTCTAGGCCACACTATGCTATCACATCCCACAACAAAGCAACACCTGATGCACGACTCATAAGAAAGGGGACATTTCTAGATCCACTATTCAGTCCATCAATCGACTCAAGGTTGAGGGACTGATTACCTCATTCTCCTCCTGTTCTTCAAGTTTCTCCTACGTATGGACTGAATATGGACTCAATAAAGATACCCAAGAGTTGCACATGTGTCTAGTTTATCAGTTTTCCCTTTCTTATGAGTCACGCATCCGGTGTTGGTTTGTTGTGGGATGTGATAATGAGGTGTGGTCTAGACTCTTTATATGCCTTCCTCAGATGCATTACTTTAATTGTTCCTTGATAATGTGAGTAGTCACGAAAGCGCTTGGAATTTCTCTATTTTCACAGTGGCTGTTTTGCATGTTTTGAAATCACCTGTTTACTGTGATCTTATTGCACTAATGGATACCACACGACTCTTTAGAATGTTCTCGATAAGATTTCCTAATCATATTTCTTTTGTTTCCCAGTTTTCTTCTGCACTGATCAAGTCCCACAAGTTAAAAATTCGACTTAATTTTTTTAAAAATTGTTTAAATGAACAAGTTGTGCCCAAGTGTCTTTTAGCCAATATCATCCTTGACATGAGAGACCGTGCTTTTGATGATTTTATGAGAATTATTCTTCAGAAACATATTGAAATAACTAAAATTCAGGAGAAGGAAGCATTCAAAATATTGAGAAACAAAAAATACTCTTTTAAGGCCATTGCTATAATAAACTCAGAAGAATTTGTAATGAACTCAAAAACAAACTACAAAGAAAATAAAAAAAATTAATTTAAAATAGTGATTGGAGAAAGCATGCTAATAATAATTTTGTAATTAACTTATCAGATGAATTATTAGATAAAAATACAACTGCTGCTCTAGATTTTGGCCTAAGTTTTGCAACTTCAAAAAAACTTAATAATGTTGAAATTGCAAAAGCCTTTTGTAACTTTGAAAAATTTTCTGATTTATCCTCTGATGAAATTAATATTAGTAAAGGAATGGTATATGCTAGTTCTATGTTAAAACATATATGTCGTGCCGAATAGGCAGAACTTGCGATCTTGGCTTAAATAGCAACGCTCATCTTGCCATATAGGACAAGTGAAAATTTGTGTATGCAATAATTTCGCCAAAATCATTCTGAACCTAACGAAAAAAATATATTTCACTGTGTTTGTTTAGTATTAAATTATTGTAAACAAATCTACAATATATATAGTTGGGTTATGCTAAAATAAATTGTTCTTGTTATAATAAGGTTAGGTAAGTTTTCTAAGATTCTTTTGGTGCAAAATTAAAATTTTTTACATTAATATTAATGAACAAAATATATCAAACGTATAAGAGAAAATTTTAGAAAGGACTTAATTTTAAATGAGTTCTTGCTAATTGACCAGTTTTACATATTCGTTTTACGTATTAGTTTTACATATATATATATATATATATATATATATATATATATATATATATATATATATATATATATATATATATATATATATATATATATATATATATATATATATATATATATATATATTTATATATAAATATATGTTGCTTAATAGGTAAAACTGGTCAATTATCAAGAACTCATTTAAAATTAAGTCCTTTCTAAAATAAATTCTTATATGTTTAAAGATAAATGTTTTCATACATGTTAATGAAAAAAATAATAAATTTGTACCAATAGAACCGTAGGAATCTTACCTAACCTTATTATAATAAACGCAATTTAATTTAACCTAATCCAACTAAATATTTCTTAGATAAGTTCACAATAATTTAATAATAAACATACATAATGAAATATATATTTTTTGTTTGACTTAGAATGATTTTTGCGAAATTATTGCATTCATAAATTTCATAGACCCATCTGCTGGCAAGTCCACTCCCAGATTTCTGAATACATTCACTTCCTCCATACTCCCATCATCCTGTCTGATATCCAATCTTTCATTACCTAATTTTTTTTTGTTATCCTCATCCTTCTCTTCAGAATCACCTGAAAGCACAGTGTCATCAGCAAAGAGCAAGTGTGACAACTCCCATTTTTTGTTAGGTTCTTTATCTTTAAATCCCACACCTCTTGCCAACAACCGAGCATTCACTTCTCTTACAGTCCTTTCTAGAAATATAGTCTAAGGCCTCGTTTTATTAGGAAATAATCACCCTCTCTTCTACATGCTCTAACTTGAGCCTCAATATCCTTGTAAAGACTCTTCACTGCTTTCAGTAACCTACTTCCTATTCCATACATTGCAGCATCTGCCACATTGCCCCTCTTTCTGCCCAGTCATACACCTTTTCCAAATCCATACATGCAACAAAAACTTCTTTCCTGTTATTTAAATATTGTTCACCTGTATGTTGCACTGTAATCACTTGGTCTACATCCGCATACCCTTCATAAAGCAATCTTGTTCATATGCTATTCTCCTCTCTAGTTTACTCTTACTTCTTTCAAAAATAACTCTACCAAACACATTACCATGTATATTCAACATTCCCCTATAATTTTTACGCTCTTTTTTGTCCTTTTTGCTTTTATAGAAAGGGACTATGCACACCTGCTGCAAATCACTAGGTACCTTATCGTCCTCTGTACCTTTATTAAATAAAAGCAATTTATTCCCTTCCATTCTATCCACTGCTTCATGCACCTCCCTCACATTCACAACTATCTCTTCTTCACTCCTACAAGATGTTATACCTCCCTGTCTAGTGCACAAAATCACAGCTTCGCCATCTTCATCAACATTCAACAGTTCATCAAAATATTCCCTCCACCTTCCCTACCATTTTTAACTGTCGCTTAGGCTTTCTCAACTTATTAATCTCGCTTTAAAACTTTTTCTTATTCTCAACAAAATTTTTTAATATCATCTCACCCACTCTTTCATTTGCTCTTCTACATTCCCTCCACACTCCTCCACTCTCTTAACCTCTCTTTTTCTCTCCATATACTCCTCCCTCCTTGTATTACTTCTACTTTGTAAAAACCTTTTTCTCTCTTACTACTCCATATTTCCCTCATTATTCCATCAATCGCTCTTCTTCCCTCCCACACCCAATTTCCTGTAACCACAAACTTCTGCTGAATACTCTAACACTGCATTTTAACTCTTCCCGATACCTCTTCAACATTATTGTTCGTACTTTCATTAACCCATCTTTCTTCCAATAATTATTTATATCCGACTCTAACTGCCTCTTCCTTAAGTTTATAAACCTTCACCTCTCTCTTCCTTGCTGATTCCATTATACTTATATCGCAAGTACATTTTACTCTCTAGAGGTACCACCTCTAGAACTGACATGGGACCCACTTCCTCAGAGAAAAGAATAAACGTACTTCAGAAAAAACTCGAGTAATTTCTCCTTGGAACGTTTGATTATCTTCTTTTTCTACCACCCTTATGCTATATTTGTGAAATTTATTTCAAAATAAAATACAATAAAACAAAAATATATTACGGAGCAGAACATGTATTACAATACAATGCCTACATCTCAATACTTCATCCAGCTCACCAGCAGTGGGTCGTTTTTCCAGAATGCTGTAAGCGTTTCCTCTCTGGATCGCAACATTGAGTCTCTGGAAAATGAAACTAATCATTATGGGGTCCTTGGTTTCCGTGATGAATTTGTCACCTAACTCTTTAAGGAATCTGAGAGTACATTTACCTCATGTTCGCTCCGAGGGTCTCCAAAGAGAGAGGAATCCTATCAGAATAGACGAAATTACACTATCATTCTTAAAACAATTTAACCAAGATTTGAAAAAGCGTTCATAAGTATTATTTCATGATGACATTCCTTCATATGTATGGACCAGTGACCACAGTATTTCTTTCATATCGTCAGAGAACATTGTTTTACATGCAATAATATTTTATAGTTGTTGGGCACTGGGAGGAATCTTGCTTGTTTCTGCTTGTTGTACCCATGTCTTTGTTTACTTGTTTTGAAGACAGTAATACCCACGGAACGTGTCACCACTGGTCTCGCTTTCATTGCTGTGTGGTATTTTATAAATAACCCATTATTCCTACGTTTTATTTACAGTCATCGAAGCATGTTACAAATCACCAAAAGTATCACTATCAATGCTGTTTGAAAAATTTTCAGTCATCATTTTTATCTTCCCACAAAATGTTCACTCACATTTCTGCCAACTTCTCTGCTGGAGGTAAATGTGGTAGAAATGATCCAAGCTTTTCACATGATGCAAATTAAAGGTTCGCTTAAATTAAGGATTTGATAACGAACTGTTTTTTTTGGAGTATCCAGATTTCCCAGTAGTGGCAAAAATAGATAATGTAGTTTAAAGGATTATGGGTAGTTATCTCATTATCTACTACTGTATTTTGCCAGTAACAAGCAATGTTTTGGAGTTAATTTTTGAGACAAATGTTTTCCTTATGTTCTTTATGGTCATTATCGAAAGTATGATTTATTTTAACAGATCAGAAGACAAACTAACACACGCATTCAACTGCCTTCAGGAGGTCAAAAGAGTGATGGCATCATCATCACAGGTAAAAAGGAGAACTGTGATAAGGCTCGTGACTGTATTCAGAAAATCCACGAAAAGTTGGTAAGTTCTTAACTAAATTTTTTAATACATTGTTTTGCAGTTCTCTCAATGTATAGTAGAACATTTCTGTTATAATTTATTTATAGCACAGTTTATGAATAAAAATGTTCATCATTCATTATATTGAATGGCGTGCAAGAGTTGATGATTACAAACTTCTGCTCGCTACTCTTACTACTGTGAGGATTTACATCCCACCCTGTCTTCCTCTTCTACTTTATCTATCCTTTCTTTACCTTCTGTCTCTTCTCCTTTTCTAACCTCGATCTCTGTCTCCTCTCTTTTTCTACCCTCGAGCTCTGTCTACCTCCGTATGTCTGCTCATCTGGTTGTATGTCTTTTCTGTGTGTTTGTTTATTTGTATGTTCATTTGTCTGATTGTTTGGCTCTTTGTATGTCTGCCTGTCTGTATGTCTGCCTGTCTGTATGTCTGCCTGTCTGTATGTCTGCCTGTATGTCTGCCTGTCTGTATGTCTGCCTGTCTGTATGTCTGCCTGTCTGTATGTCTGCCTGTTTGTCTGTCTGTCTGTCTGTCTGTATGTCTGCCTGTCTGTATGTCTGCCTGCCTGTATGTCTGCCTGCCTGTATGTCTGCCTGTCTGTATGTCTGCCTGCCTGTATGTCTGTCTGTCTGTCTGTCTGTCTGTCTGTCTTTCTCTCCCTCTCTCTCTCTCTGTATATTTATTTAATTTTACCAAATATATTACAACTTGTAATATGTTTAATAAAGACTGCTCAAGAACTGTAGATTTAAAAAAATAATTTTGATTTAAGAATGAATGGAAATATGTATATATATTTTTTAAGATTTTTTTTTTCAAATTCACTTATGCTTTGTGTTATGTTCATTTTATTAACATGAAGAGCTTACACTTGTTTGGCAAAGATAGGTCAAAAATTTAAGATTTAATACTGACTTTTTTAAATCATGACCAAGGCTTTGAAAGGACTAGAGCTAGAGCACGACACAGCCACGCCTGTGTGGGATTCGTCTGTAAAAACCTGTATTTGTGGTCTCAGTGGGGCTCATGCTAACCTCCTTAAGATACGTAATTGGCCACTGGCCCAGTGGTTAGCACAATGGCCTGTGAGTTTTATAGCTCACCTGGCATGGGTTGAAGTTCCACCTGTTCCGTGATTGGAGGAACCGATTATCATAATATTTAGTTGGTTATTTGCAGCTCTGTTCCCAAACAACATGTAACAGGTCTTATTAATGTTTAGAGTGTGTTCGGTGGAAGACATCCAGGTACATATCTTTATGAGCTCTTCATTAACAAAGGAGAAATTATATTATATTCTTGGTGTTGCTGAGGACTACTTTTGTTTGACTTGCTGTGCAGTAAAGGCAAGTATTTTTGTAGAAGTATTGATTACCTTTGTGATTTGACAGATTTAAATTGAGGTAAGTATCAGCATTCATGAAGTATGAAGTGATACTTGGAAAGTGAAGGATGAGGTACAGGTATCAGGAATTACTCACTTGTAATATGAGCAGTGGAGTGAAAAATAGTGAGTACAAGTCTGTGATAAAGCAGCTTATAACACAAAATAAGAAAAAAATCTGTTATGCAAATATAAACAATCCAATGTAAAAAACTACATAATGAGACAGTACATGAAATATAAATAAATATGAATAACATTATAAAAACATTGTTAATTGTACAAATTAATGGCACTGCAGTGAGGTAAAGGGAACACTGTACGTAGAGTGAAGTATGAGCTGTGTACTGTTTACGCTAGGTCAGGCCTGTGAGTCTAAGAAAATTTGCTAGTTAGTGTTCATTAATTATTTCATACTAGTGACCTGAGGCTAATTTTTTAACTATGAATTTACCAGCTCGGACAAAACACTGATGAATGAGTTTTCTTAGTCTATACAGTAAGTTCTGGAGCTAGTTTATTAGACAAGCATTTACGTACACACTCCATCGTGATCGAAGATATAAGTAGATCTTTTTCTTCAGATATGAATGAAATCTTAGCACTACGCTTCGCTTAAGTCTCAATTTGCTTAATAATCGAGACTTCTTGATATCACAATTCATCTTTGAGTAGTTATAGGGTGGTGTCTAAAAAAAGAACTTGGGTTAATATTATCACATAGACATTAACTCTTTACAGTTGTATCTGATAACTGCTGTTGTTCCATTTTGTCCAATTGTTTTTGAAAGAATTCCGAAATCTGTAACAATGCGAGATTTCCAGTTATGTACAACGTCGTCTATCTTGAGGGAAGTTATTTGTTCGGCTTGCTTTACAACAGTTCTTAGCACTCCCTTATGGTCATCACTTGCTTTTTCTAGGTTGGGCAGCTTTTGCTCAAGTTTTTGAATACTCATGGCTTGAACTGATTGAGGGAGTTCAAGTATAGAAATCTTCTTGACATGAGTGGCCTGTAATGAATCAAGTTTACCGTATGCCAATTTTATGTTATGTCGGTCATATGGTAATGATGTGATGTGTCCAGCTTGTACTCTCATGGCTTCAGCCAGTCTTGAGTATTTGGTGAAGATATCAGTGAGAGTAAAAAGGTAGATGGGATACAAGGAAAATGGAAGCAGCAAGTGCGAGAGAAGTGAAGGTATATAAACTAAAGGAGGAGGCAGTTAGGGTAAGATGTAAACAACTGTCGAAGGACAGATGGGCTATGGGGTAAGTTTAAGAATATTGTGTTAGTGTGTTCACCAGAACCTTGTGGGTACAGGAAAGTGGGTGCGGGAGGGAAGAAGAGTGATTGGTGGAATGATGATTTAAAGAGAGTAGTAAGAGAGAAAAAGTTAGCATATGAGAGGTTTTTACAAAGCAGAAGCGATGCAAGGAGAGAGGAGTATATGGAGAGAAAAAGAGAAGTTAAAAGAGTGGTGAAGCAATGTATAACGAGAGCAAACGAGAGAGTGGGTGAGATGTTATCAACAAATTTTGTTGAAATTAAGAAAAAGTTTTGGAGTGAGATTAATAAGTTGAGGAAGCCTAGGGTAAGAATGGATTTGTTCGTTAAAAATTGGAGGAGAGTTATTAAATGGAGAGTTAGAGGTATTGGGAAGGTGGAGGGAGTATTTTGAGGAATTGTTAAAAGTTGATAAAGATAGGGAAGCTGTGATTTCGTGTAAAGGGCAAGGATAAATAGCATCTTGTAAGAGTGAGGAAGAGCCAGTTGTGAGTGTGGGGAAAATGTCTGGGGCAGTGAGTAGAATGAAAGGGGGTAAGGCAGCTGGGATTGATGCGATAAAGATAGAAATTAGAAACAGGTGTGGGATATAGTTTTGGAACGGTTAGTGTTTTTATTTAATAAATGTATGGAAGAGGGTAAGGTACCTAGGGATTGGCAGAGAGCATGAATAGTTCCTTTGTATAAAGGCGAAGAGGACAAAAGAGAATGTAAAAATTATAGGGGGATAAGTCTGTTGAGTATACCTGGTAAAGTGTATGGTAGAGTTATTATTGATAGAATTATGAGTAAGATGGAGAGCAGGATAGCAGATGAACAAGGAGGCTTTAGGAAAGGTAGGGGATGTGAAGACCAAGTGTTTGCAGTGAAACACAAGTGAACAGTATGTAGGTAAGGGTAAAGAGGTTTTTGTTGCATTTATGGATTTGGAAAAGCCATATGATAGGGTGGATAGGGGTGCAATGTGGCAGATGTTGCAGGTGTATGGAATAGGAGGTAGGTTATTCATAGCAGCGAAAAGTTTTTACGAGGATAGTGAGGCTCAGGTTAGAGTATGTAGGCGAAAGGGAGATTATTTCCCAGTTAAAGTAAGCCTTAAACAGGGATGTGTGATGTCACCATAGTTGTTCAATATATTTATAGATGGAGTAGTAAGAGAAGTGAATGCACTGATGTTGGCAAGAGTTGTGGCATTAAAAGATAAAGAATGTTACGCAAAGTGAGAGTTATTGCAATTGCTCTTTGCTGATGCCACTGTTCTTTTGTGAGATTCTGAAGATAATTTGCAGAGGTTGGTTGATAAGTTTGGTAGGGTATGTAAAAGAAAGAAGTTAAAAGTGAATTTAGGAAAGAGTTAGGTGATGAGGATAACAAAAAAATTAGGTAATGGGAGATTAGATTCCAGATTGGAGGGAGAGAGTATGGAGGAGGTGAATGTGCTCAGATATTTAGGAGTGGACGTGTCACCAGATGGGGTGAATCATAGAAATGATGAGGTGAATCATAGGATTGATGAGGAGAAAAAGGTGAGTGGTGCACCGAGGAGTCTACGGAGACAAAGAACTTTATCCATGAAAGCAAAGAGGGGAGTGTATAAGAGTATAGTTATACTGGCGCTGTTGTATGAGAGTGAGACAAGGGTAGTAAATGTTGCAACAAGGAGAAGGCTGGAGGCAGCAGACTTACCATGGCTGAATGCATTGTGTGGTGTGAATATAATGCAGGGAATTCGTAGTTTGGAGATTAGGAGGAGGTGCGGGATTACCAAAACTATTATCCATAGGACTGAAGAAGCGTTATTGAGATGGTTTGCACATGTAGAGAGAATGGAACGAAATAGAACTGACTTCGAGAGTATACAAATCTGTAGTGAAGGGAAGGCGGGGGTAGGGGTCGGCTTAGGAAAGGTTGGAGGGAGGGGGTAAAGGTTTTGTGTGCGAGGGGCTTGGACTTCCAGCAAGCATGCGTGAGCGTGTTAGACAGGACTGAATTGAGACAAATGCTTTTTAGGACTTGACATGCTGTTGTAGTGTAAGCAAGGAAATATTTGTGAAGGGATTCAGGGAAACCGGAAGGCCGGACTTGAGTCCTGGAGATGGGGAGTACAGTGCCTGCACTCTGAAGGAGGGGTGTTAATGTTGCAGTTTTATAACTGTAGTGTAGGCATACCTCTGGCAAGACAGTGACGGAGTGAATGATGATGAAAGTTTTTCTTTTTCGGGCCACCCTGCCTTGGTGGGAAACTGCCGATGTGTTAATAAAAAAAGTAATCATTGAAGCCGTGGAAGGGTAAGGAAGAGTCTCGTAGTATACCACTATGTCGGTCATGTTTGCTGTTCCATCAGCTGCAGTGAGAGAGGAGATGGGTGATGCGTCTTGATATAGTTTCTAGTGCTGGTTTCATGCGCTTTTCCTCTGCCCATAAGAACTCTGATTTTGTTTATAGTGCTGTAATGGGCAGATCTTGTAATACTAGTAGCTTAGGTAACTTGTCCGTCTGGAAGTGGTACTGATGTTGGGTAGTTCTGTGTAGTTCTCTTTCTTAGTCGTCGGCGAGTTTAACAATTTGGTTGATTTCCACAGTCAGTTAATATCACTTTGTGTTTCCGCGTATGTTAGTACACCAAAGCTTAAAGATTGGTCATTACAGGGGGACAGTATTATCTGCAGAGACTGTGAAATTGAGGAACTCCGCTGCCACTACTTTAGCAAACAATCTTCCTCTCAAATCCATCCACATGCACATCAACCTACCCCTTATACCTACCCACCCTCACACTCACCCACACTCACATGCACACCTACCCACCCACACATCTACCTACCCCTCACACCCACTCTCATTAACATGTATCCATTTATTAAGAAATGTTTAATATTTGTAAGTGAAAAGGAACAGGAGTGTAAAATATTTCATAAAAATTGTCTGGAAAAAATTCACTGGATAAAAGTACGGAATATTAGGGCTCTATAACGACTCTCCAAATATGACAGGTTTCTGTGAGATAATAGCTTCTAAGTACTGAAAAATGAATATGCAATGAATTTTCGTGTATGCATTAATGCAAGTTGGGCCCTATGTATTTAAATCTTAATGCACTACAGTAGTTCTTAAATAACCATTCTTGCACAGAGAACAAAGAAAAATGTCTAGAATTCTTTAGTACCTATAAAAAGGTGGCTGGTGGATTTTTTATTTTATTTTTTAGGACATGAATTATAAAAGTTTTAGACCCCTTGTTAATACCTACAAATACTATTTTTGTCCCTGTTTGAGTTGAACCGTGAGTTACTGCACGTCTTAATGTTTCCTTCGAATATTTCAGGTTTTTTTAAAAGGAGCTAAAGAGAATGGTCAAGTATCTAAGGCTAGGATCCAGCAGAGGGCGAATGATAATGAGACGGTGAACTTAAAAGTATATATTCCACAAAAATATCTTGGTATTGTGCTGGGTGCCTGGGGCAGTAAGAAGCAGGAATTCAATTCAAAGTTTAAAGTATATATCAACTTCCCTAAAAATGACAGTGGATCTCTTGTTAATTGTCAGGAAAATCAAGGACAACTCAGTGGCAAGGTGAATAAAAAGACAACAGTTAGACCTCTAAACATTGTACACATTATGGGCAGAAAAAACAGATGTGAGGTTGCCCGTAAGGCCCTATTGAGCCTAGTGCCAGTTACAATCAAAGAGAACATCGCCTTCAGACACCACTGCTTCATAGCTGGAAAAGAGGGAGAACAGATCAAAAAGATGAAAGCAAAATACAAGGTGCATGTTGACGTTCCTCCAGCAGAGGAGCAGAGTGATATTATTAAGATTACTGGCTTACCAGCCAACATTGAGCGAGTGCGGGAAGCTCTGAGGGAAAAAGTGCGTCAGCTAGAAGTGAAAGAGATGCAGGTTGAAATGGATCCTGAATATTATCCCAAAATCATTTGGATGAAAAGTGCTGTTATCTCTAATCTCATGGATAAATTTAATGTCAGTATTCAGTTTCCTCCTCGCGGCGATGTAACGAAAAAGAGCATCACCATCACTGGATGTGAGGAAAATGTAGAGGAAGCAAAAGCTGCTATCAGTGAAAAAATTAATAAAATGGTGAAGGACACTGTTGAAATTGATAGTGGAATGCAATTTCGTCCTCTAGTAACCGTGAAGTTCAAGGTAAGTACACTGTGTTTTAATTTGAAATAACATGTTTAAGATAAATAAGAATTTATGTTATTGTATTTTAAATATTCTGTACATTGTATGCACTTACCAAATTTGTGCATGGTGAACTACACCTCCCCACACCCTCCCTTCCAATTAATGATTCAAATTAATAACTAGATGTATTTTGGTTGCTGTGTCGTCCTAAAATGTATTCATATATTACATAACTCAACCTCATATATGGCATTAAACTTAAAAAAGATTAGTGCAGAATACAGCATAAATTTCTAATATGGTTACATATTATCAGTGAAGATCTGAAGTGAATTAGATTTGGCATTCACAAGTTATCACAGGGACACTCATCCTTATGTCTTCAATGAAAAAGCAAATTACGACATATAAAGGACAAAACTAATTCAAACTTTTGACTAAGAAGTACAAACTTTGAAACCAAACTGATGAGACATTTTGTTTTAGTTTCACACAAACCATCATCCTAAAATTCAATGGAACATTAATTTTGAAATTGCCTAGGATTTTCATTCTTAAGTTATGACAAGAAAACCATTATTTAATTTTTCCAAGTTTAGTCCTTAAAAAAAGGCAAATCAAGGGCAACAGAGGCAAAAATCTAAATTTCTCTAAGTAAGATTTCCAGGTTTATAAGGTTTAAGTGTGAATGTGAGTAATGAAGTAAGAAACTCGCTTCATATAATGTACATTTTTTAACAATGATCTTGAAGACAGACATTATGTGCACATATATGTACATTATGTCAATTAGCCAGGATAACACAGTAAACTTAAATATTCAAAATATCTGAACTACTCAAGGTGAATATGAGGTCCAGCCTAGCTGTTTCATCCTTTCCTCTCTTTCCAGTTGTGTCCCTAACACACTGATGCATGAGGTTTACTAGTATTGGCTCCATCATTTAGCCCTCCACATTTCTGGTCCCCCAGGTGACTCCAGGTTTTTTTTAATCAATCTCTTTGAAGTCACAAAACAGCTAATAACTTTGCCCTACCCATGTGGGCCATTTTGATCACTTCTGCTAGTGTGTCCACCATTGCCCTGTTGCTCTCATTGTACTCTTGACTTGACACTGCAACCACCACCTTGGGATCCTCAGTTTGAAGTGATCATACTATGCAGATTCTTGCTTACCCTCTGTCCAATCCTTCCAACTCCACTGGTTGTTTGATGAGTAATGTAACTCCTCCACCCCCTCTGTTCCCTCTCTTTACTCAGGTTCTGATATTGGGTAGAAAAGATTGTGTCTGTTATCATCCCTGAGAATTTTGTTTTTGTGAGTTCTATGTCTGGAGATGCCTTTATGATTCTTTCATGTCATTCCTCATACTTACATTATTCTGTTTGCATTGGTATACCATACTTTCAGCTTCCTTTACATTACTGTATTTTGGGTGGTTTGTTGTGACTTGGGGAGTGGTAGACTGGGCAAGGTACTATGGGAGGTTACCATGAAGGTGGGAATTGTGCTGGGAGGGGGGGGGGGGGAACTGTGAATGCTGAGTGTCGATCGATTGTTTTGGATTATTGTGCTTTGTTTTGGTGGGGGAGGCGATTGAAATTGTTCTGTAGGTGGTTTTGTGAATGGTTCTGTTTACTGGACCTCCTGAATCTAGGCACCCCTGCCTGTATCTAGTCTTGACTCTCTTTCCTACCCCTTGCATGTTTGTTCCCTCTCAGTTTCTGTCATTCTGAATGTGTTCTATCATAGTCAAGGTACACCAGTTGGTATTTTGATGAGATCTTTAGCCTTGGTTTACCGTGCAGTAACCTGTTCCTCACCATTTCTGTCTTGAAAATCATCTTGACTGCTCGATTTCTTCCCTTCGAGTACCCTCTATTCTCTGAAAATTTGTCAGCTCGGTCATGTCTTTCTCTCCTGATTGTGTGATGATATTTTCAATCTCTTCTTTTCTCCCCTGTATGTCATCCCTAAGGCCTCCTAAAGCCCATGAATATAAATCGACATCTAACTCTCCTCTTCTGTGTGTGTGTGTGTGTGTGTGTGTGTGTGTTTGGGTGTGTGTGCATTAGTATGTGGATATGTACTCACCTAATTGTGATTGCAGGGGTCGAGTCATAGTTCCTGGCCCTGCCTCTTCACTAGTCACAACTAGGTCCATTCTCTCCATTCTCCATGAGTTTTATCATACCTCTTCTTAAAGCTATGTATGGCTCATGCCTTCAATACCTCACATTCCAGACTATTCCACTTACAACTCTGTGACTGAAGAAATACTTCCTAACATCCCTGTGATTCAACTGAGTATTCAACTTCCAATTATGACTCATTTTTAATTCATTCATGTTGATTCGCTGGTACTTCCGGCCAGGGTCTTCTTCAGATGGTGACCCGGCAGTGGCCCCCCGGGTGGGGGGGGGTGACGTTCATCTTCTTCTCTCTTGGGCCCTCCGGTTGGAGGGTGTCTTCTTCTATCTTGCACTGACTTCCCAGGAGGGAAGTGTCTTCTCGCTTCAGAAGCTCAGTCGGGCAGAGGCAGCAATTACAGGGTCGATTGGAGCCACACCCCAGCTTTAGCAGACACCAAAGTGCTGGGGAAACTTGTTTTCATGGTGAGTGATCGTTGATAGTCCTGCTAGGTGAGAGTACCATTCTCAGGAGATCCCTTCTCGAAAGCCTTGAGTTTCTTCCTTGTAGTATATTCAAGTGCCACAAAGCGGCGACTTTTTGAGAGGAGGTTGATCAGGGATTCAGTGGTGAATGAACGAGTTGAGTCGCAGGTGAACGTGACTGTCCCATTGTGGAGGCGTTGGATGAGTTCTGGAGTGTACATTGCCTTCTCATACTGATTGGTTGTGTAGAAGAATACATCAGGCAAGAACTGGACTTGCTGTGCAGGCGTGGTAACATCTTGTTGGGCTGCATCCCGAGGTTCCTGTGTCTTAACCTTCTTGGCTGGTGGCGGCGACGATTGAGGTGAGGCGTCTGAGTGGTCAGTTGCGGCAGAGGTGGAAGCAGGTGTTGTGTCGAGAGGAAGGTGTGGTAGCAGTGTAGCAGCGGTGATGTTCGCAACATTAGCAGTGGATTTTATGATCTCAGTGGAAGGTGGGGATGCAGGGAATGTAAAACCAGGCATATTGTTGAATTTGAAAAGTTCATTGATGGTGGCGTTGAAGGAACCAGGCTCAGCTACATTCCGTACATGAGCATACATGATGCAGTAAAGAATCTTGGTGAAGTCGGCAGTAGGTGATGGCAAGGAAGTGGTGAGAGCAGCTTGCGTGGCTTGTAGGATCTTGGTGGTGTCAGCTTGAAGCTTGGTGATAGCAGCACATGTGGTTGCTTGTGGGTTGGGCTTCTTTTGTTGTTGTTGTTGTTTCCTGAGTATGTCTCTTCTGGTAGGGCATGGCAGCAAGAGTATGGTGGTCATTCTTGCAGTTCAAGCATTTAGGTGGTGAGGCAGTAGTGCTCATTTTTAATGTATTTCACCTCTGAAATATCACCTCCTCCTCAGTTGTGTGTATGTCATCCAACACTTCTTGGTATATTACTTGTTGGTGTCCCCCTCTGTTCTGTCTTCCCAGAGTCCTTCCTGTCTCTACTGTAAAAGCTTCCTTAAATCTCGTGTTGAGCTCCTCACATACCTCTTGATCGTTTCTTGTGAGTTCCTCACCTTCTTTCCTCAACCTGATCACCTGGTCCTTGACTGTTATCTCCTAATGTGGCTATACAGCAGTTTCGGGTCAGACTTGACTTTTAATAATAATAATAATAATAATAATAATAATAATAATAATAATAATAATAATAATAATAATAATAATAATAATAATAATAATAATAATAATAATAATGTTTATTTGGACATGATACATAGTTGTACAAGGAATTATAGTAGTTGGGTGTACATGCCAAAAGCCCCTTGTATGTAGAGCATTCTGGGCAGCTTAAAATTAACTTAGTTTAACTAAGCAATGATAGATTCAGTGGTAAAAATTACCGTAAACAAATTACAACATGAAGTACAAATGAGTATTTTAAACAATGACATTTGAACATTACAGTTAAACAGCATTATAGTTGTACAAAATTGTAGCATAACAATGTATAATACAACAAAATGATCAATGAAGTCATACAATTTATTAATCCGATCAAATCGAATACATTCAATGATCTGTAGTGCAGAAACAGGTCATATGGTAATTAGATGAGTAGCTGTGCATTCATCAGAATGGAGTATTTTATTAGGTAATGTAATTAAAAAATATAGTTTGATAGGGTCACGTGTTATTATACATTTACGATATACAGTTATCCAATATTTATTTAGTTGTGCGTGAGTAAGTGGTTTTTAAGAAGAGTCTTGAATTGATAAACAGACAGTGTTTCCTTTGTATTCACAGGTAATGAATTCCAAATTTTTGGGCCTTTTATGTGCATTGAGTTTTTACATAGTGTGAAATGGACACAGGGAACATCAAAGAGTTATCTGTGCCTTGTGTTATGGTCATGTGTTCTGTTGAGGTTGGTAAGGAGAAGTTTGAGGGGAGGGTTTATATCCGAGTTTAGTGTTTTATGTATGTAATAGGCGCAATAATAAGTATGGGTGTTTTGTATGGTGAGTAAGTTTAGAGTTTTGGATATTGGTGGAGTATGCTGCCTGGAGTGGGAATTTATTATCATTATGACCGCAGCGTTTTGTTCTTTTCGTACTGTCACTGGGCCTCCTTCCTTATCCTTGCATGCTCGTTTCTGGCGCTTCGACTAATCTCCTTATTTTCCTGGGTCCTTTGCCTTCTGTACTTTTTCCATTCTCTAGTGCACTTAGTTTTTGCCTTCCTACACCTTCGGGTAAACCAAGGACTCTTTTTGGTGTTTCCATTACTTCTATTGTCCTTGGGAACAAACCTTTCCTCTGCCTCATTGCATTTTGTTGTTACATATTCCACCATCTCGTATATTGACTTTCCTACAAACGTATGTGTGTGTGCGTGTGTACTTGTGTAG